AAAGAAAAAAAAAAAAAAAAAAAAAAAAAAAAAAAAAAAAAAACTCCAAGTTTTTTTCCCAGATGAAAACATGATTAGGCTTGGCAGAATCTTCAAAACCCTTTGGCTGTTCAACATATGCTTCCTCATTTAAAACTCCATTCAGAAATGCACTTTTGATATCCATCTGATACAGTTTGATTTTAAGAAAGCAGGCTATAGCAAGAAGTAATCTAATAGATTCAATTCTAGCTACTGGAGCAAAAGTCTCATCAAAGTCTATACCCTCAATTTGAGTATATCCTTGTGCTACTAACCTAGCCTTATTTCTAACAACTGTACCTTTTTCATCAGTTTTGTTTTTGAAGATCCACTTAGTCCCTATCACATTTACATGGCTTGGTCTGGGAACTAAGTACCAAACATCATTTCTGATGAATTGATTCAACTCTTCATGCATTGCATTTACCCAGAATTCATCCTTCAGAGCTTCTGCAATATTTCTTGGTTCCACTAAAGACACAAAACAAGTGGTTCCAGTTAGTGCACATTCAGAAGATAAATTAGCAAATCTTACCATATCTCTGTAGTTCACTCTCTCTTTTCTTCTGGTTCTTATTCCACCAAAGATATCTCCCACAACTTGAGTCGAGGGGTGATTTTTCTGGATTCTACTTGATGGTTCCTTTCTGCAGACATCATGAGTTGGCTGCAATTCAGCTTCTGTGCTCTCTGTATGAAGTATTGAGTCAGATGTGGTAACACTTGGCTCAACACCCTCTTCTCTTGACACTGGACTGTTTATATCTGGAGCATATGTGGCAGTAGTGTCTCCTCCGGTTGTTTCTCCTTCAGCAATCAGGTCATCAACTTCATCTTCAGCTGTTTTACTGCGGAGATCAGCAAAATCATTAAATACCACATTTACAGATTCAATAATGGTTCGAGTTCTTAAGTTATATACTCTATACGCATGACTGTTATTAGAGTATCCCACAAATAAACTCAAATCACTTTTTGAATCAAATTTAGATAGATGATCTCTATTATTTAGGACATAGCAAACACATCCAAACACATGCATGTATTCTAGATCTGATTTTTCTCTTAAAAAATACACCCAAGTATATCTCGAAAAATCATCAACACACATAAATGCAAATTTCTTACCACCTAGGCTTTCTACCTCTATAGGACCCATAAGATCCATATGTACAAGTTCAAAACAAATGGTGGTACCAACGCGTTGTAACACTTTGTATGGCACTCTAGTTTGCTTTCCCTTCTGGTACATTCCGTATATAGGAATGTCCTTGATTTTGAGATCTGGAATTCCTCTTATGGCATTGTACTTGTTGAGCAGCTTCAGATTTTTGAAGTTTGTGTGCCCTAGATTCTGGTGCCACAGCTCTACTTCACTTACTCTTGAGTTCTTGCATGAGATGGTATCACCTGTTTGATAACAATTATCCATTGACCTGGAACCTGTCAGTACACAATGATTTTGATTATCAAACACAGAACAACAGTATTTATCAAATTGAACACGTAGATCATCATCACACAATTGACTAATACTGATGAGATTTGACCCCAATCCTTCAATATGTAAAACATTTGAAAGTTTTGGAAGTCCCTCAATACTGAGTGTTCCACGTCCAACCACTTTGCCTTTAGCTCCTCCTCCATAGGTTACACGTCCTCCATTGAGTGTATGGTAGTTTGATAGAAATTCTTTTGTTCCAGTCATGTGCCTAGAGCATCCACTATCAAAGTACCATGAACCTGAAATGTTAGCATCTAAAGAAGTGTATACTGCTTTGCACATAAGTTTACCTTTGGGAGTCCA